GGTTTGCCTGGCCTTTTAGTTGTCGACTGCCGCCGCTGTTGATGATGTCCATGTCCATGTCGATGATGGAGATGACTGTGACGACAACGATGATAATGATGAAAAATGTTAATTGAAGCAAAATGCACACACAAAGATCAAAATCAACATGCCGCCACTAAAAAGGCAACAGTGCAACAACAAACGACGAAAAACCAACTATCAACAACACAAACAAGCAGCAACAGCATCAGCGCCATGACGCAAAGATATGAGGACGCAAACTACGGCGATTTCTTACTGACAACGTTACTGACATTGCGTTAATTATTTTATCGGCAGTGCTCAGGAGAAAAAAACAAAGGCTTGATGTTTAGGTAGGCAATTTTTTAACGGCGGTTGGTGTAACGTAGCTCAGGGTATTTGGAATTAAAGAAGAGAACAAAAAACGCTATTTAGAAAAATGCAACATGTAATGATGACTTAAATACTTACAACAAACAATGGTAGCAGAGGCTTGCCACAAAGATGATGAAAAGTAAACAATTGGAGGTTGTTCCTTCCACTTAAGGGACGAATGAATAAACGATAATGTTAACAGCTGCATATCACAGCTTTGCAGTAGATTGATGATCATCAATATATTGACCACAATGTGAATATGTGATGTGAATATTGTAATGAGTTGTGGCATGTGATCGATAGGAATGCATCGACTATAGTTTGTAGTAGGTGGACAATCGTATATTAAATAATAAAAAATATAGACAAGGTAATACATCTTGAAAATTCCCTGAAATAACAACAAGTAAAAATGATGTTAAGCTCTGCCAGATCGAACTTCCTATACTATCCATCATGAGTTGGGCATTCAAAATACGGAGAATTTAGCGGGACTTTACAGAAAATGTTCAATATATGTAAATGTTATGACAAAGCTCGCACATAGTTGTCCTGGACCATTTTAAGTACGGTACAAGCCGCATTTTCCAACCTAAGTGTATGTTATTTTAATTTTCAAAGTATAAGATAATTCCGGACTAAATATTTTATTTCCGCCGTTATGAACCTATTGTCACGAAATTTTGCATGTAGGTTATAGCCTAGACAGGCGACAGCCTTAATTTGAATTAACAGCCTTAATTCAAATTAACTTGTACATTATCCTCATTTTTATGTGTTGTTAATGCACGAAATCGAACTGAATTTATATTGAATTAGGCAATTTCAATATGGCAATGCCGTCGAAAATTGTTTCTTGTCAAAATTATTTATATTTATGACAATAAAAATAAGAAATGAAGTCAAATTTCAACCATTTTTTAAATTGGGAGCTGTTTTCTTAAGATTATAGTAGCTATTCCTCCTTTATGTCATGTATATGTTTCCTAAAGATGTAATCCCGAAAATAACGAAACAAATGTAAAAAATTTTCATCCTACACACAGACAAACAATTGTTTTGAAGCAAAAAACTGTTTCGTAAATGCAGAAACTCTCGTCTGTCAGGGGTAAATATTAATTCAAATTAAAAAAATTTTAATGCAAATTAAGGCTGTCGTCTGTCTATGGTATTAGGTTCTGTTGCAAGACGATGATTCCGATTAGGGGATCAATTTAACCTATAATATTATTTTCATTTTGTTGTGTCTTCGTTCACAAAATTATGACGCGATGATTAGGGATTTGTAAACCTGAGTGTCTGTAATTTGGTATTTGATTTTCTAAGAGTATAAACAACATCATCATCGCTGGAGTAATGCCGATGTATGGATAAATCGACATAGATTTTTATTCTGATGTTCTGAATGTTCAACATAATCTTGGTTTAGGCACAGTCTACGTTGTCAATATTAACTATACCAATAAATTACGGCTACAATTGTACCCTTCCAACAACCTACTGAAATAGTCCCAACCTACTGAAATAGTCCCTATGTAAAGGCAGCATCACACTACATATTGACCCGGGCGAACATAAGGAATTTTTCTATACCCTCAACCACAAGAATGGAGTGTATATTAATGGGTCGATTACGAATGGTAACCATAGTTTAGTGGCGCTGCCTGTTGCCAAATTTGAATTATGGATGGCAATTGTTGTCAACTTCAGTTGCTTCAAATATAATTTTTGGGCAACCATTTATTTCTGGTCGCTGTTTAGTCGTTTTTAGCAATAAGAACTGAAATTTGTAGGCTTCCCATAAAGTTTAAAATTACTACAGAATCTTCTTTTGGGCCCATGATATGTACATGTGTGCCATCTATACATCCCACAACACCCGGGAACTTCGTTTTCGAATAAAAAAATGTTTATTCTTCCCTTTTTCCTCCTTTATTAATTTGGAAACAAACCAAATTCTACACAGTTTTTCCTCTATTAGCCGGACAAATTCGGTCAAAACCACTGACATTGTCGGTTAAGCCATGCCAAATTTGGAGTCATTGCTGAATGTATGCCTTAAGGGGACCCCCCATTCTCGGGGTCTTTTTGACTTAATTCGAATGTACACTCATTCAAGAATTTCCCTACAAATTTTCAAGTGAAAATCTCAAGAACTCTTGAAGATATAGCCGATTTATTTTGTCAGCATCAATTGACGGCTGAAGGGTTTCTCAAACTTTAAACGCGTTTTCTCTAAACGAATGGCGGGCACGATAACTCAAAAACTAATAACCCAATCGATTCCAAATTTTTACACGTTTCTTTGTGAGTGTATAGCTATCGTATGAACTAGGATAAAGCCAATCGGCGAAGAACTTCCTTATTTTTTAACTTGCTTTTTGGTCAAAAATCGGTGATTTTCCCAAAAATTTTTTAAAGGTTCATTTTAAGGTTAATTTTAATTTTAGAGCGTAGTCAATAATCCTAGTTCATACGAGAGCCAGACATGTACTCTTTCTAACACCGTTGGAATTTTCGGATTCTGAGGTTCTAGTGAGGAGTTATGATACCCGCCATCAAAAATAAGGACTTTTCTTTAATTACAAAAAACAACAACAAAACAATAATAAACTTTTTTTTGTAAATTATTTTTCTTCTCTTTTACATCTTCAAATATATATATATACACTGCGTATCATAACTATAGACGCACCCTTAATTCAATTGCTATTTTAGTTGACGAGTAAAATGGACCCATTAAGTTATTGTTCACAATAAAACGATCAAAAACACATATTATTCAACAAAAATAATTAATTTATTCTTTATGGTTTCGCCGAATTCTGCACTTTCAAAATTGCTGGTGTTGCATAACTACAGACGCACTTTTACAAAATTAGAAAAATTTATTTTTTAAAACTTAAATAAAATAAAATAACTTCATAAATAATGAATAGGGCCTCCCTTATTTTGAATAAGTTCAAAAATTTTATCCATCACACTGTTGATCAAAATTATTCGCAAGTCTTCATCGATTGACCGCCATTCATCCATAATCACTTCATGGAAATAAAATAATGTTTGGTATTGGGGGTTTTCTGCATAGACACGACGAGTCAAGATTCCACACATGTTCTCGATCGGATTCTGGTCGGAAATTTTAATATTTTTCGATTTTAACCATACTTGAGTATGGCGACTTTTATGAACTGGTGCGTTGTCCCGCTGAAAAACGAGTCCTTGATTGTTGCTGCTTTCCCGAAATGACAATAATTTGTCTTCCAAGACTTGAACGTACTCGATTGAATTCATCCGACAACATGGACATGTCAAATAAAGCATTCCGTGGCTATAAAATGCTCCCAAGGTGGCGGTTACCGAAATATCCTTATTTCTTAATACGATATTTCGTTGGCGGTTCCTTAATGGCCTTGGGAGCATTTTATAGCCACGGAATGCTTTATTTGACATACAATGCAAAAGTGACCACCAACATCACACGATATTGGTAGCCACCATGCATCTCACCCCTCCCAACAATTACTCCACAAGCCTGCTAGTCCGAGAATGGTCCCCCACAGACTAAACTCTGCTCGTTTTCGTAGCCGAAACTACTACCATTTGAACTTATAACTGCAGGCTCTCCACAATGGAATGACCACAAAGAGAGGCTAAAATGAGCAGTTAATAATAATTTATATTTCTCTAATGATAAACATCTAATATTAATATTTAATATTTCTCTAATGATAAACATCTACTCTAGTTCTGGATTGGATTTTTCTCTTAAATGCCTTCTAAGAGATGCCACGCCTTGTACATCATTTTCATCATCAACAAATAGTTCCACTGAGCTTATCACTTAAAATTAGTTTTTCTGAAATATTCTATTCAATTTTTTGTTTGTTTACAATATTTCTAGTTGCAGAAGTGTCTAAACAGTATTATCGACGGCAACTGAGAGAAGTTGATTTTCATAATGTTAAGTTTTATTTCAGTGGCGTTGCCAGTTGAAATCGCAACTCGCAACACGAGTGGCCAAAACTGAAGCAACTAAAGTTCCACAGAAAATTAATGCCGTTCAATTTTTTTTTTTCAAAAATAAATATATCGTGTATTTTTTCAGTTTTAAATCGGGTACTTCATTCACTTAAAACATTTAAAAGCTAATTCAGTACGCTGTGCCAAATTGCATCCTAATTGAAAGAAAACAGAAAATATATATGGGAGCTATATCTAAATCTGAACCAATTTTCACAAAACTTAACAAGCATTATTGTCGACTTAATTCAGTACGCAATACTAAATTTCGTGTAAATCGTACGCCATATAGGGACTTTGGTACACAATTTACATCAAATAAGATGAAGATATATATGGGAGCTATATCTTAATCTGAACCGATTTTTCCCAATTTCAATAGGGTTCATCCTTGGACCAAATAGATGAAGTGTGCCAAATTTTATCAAAATCGGATCATAAATGCGAACTGTACTTTGTTCACAGACAGACGGACGGACATACATAAACCGATTTAGAAAGTGATTCTATCCATAATCTCAAAAGGAACCATGTGTCTATCTCGTTTCCTTTTGCCTGTTACAACATTATTCCCAAAATTTTTATACAAATAGGTGTTAATTAAATTTTCTCCATAGCAGGCCATCTCTAACATAATTTCCAGCAGGTTCATATATTTCCTTTGTAGCATCTCTTTGTTTCATTTCCAAATTTCCTTTGCGCGTACTCACAAGACTTCGTAGTTTTTCACGTATCTTCTGTTTATGAAATACTAACAATTCTCCAATGAATACCAAAACCACAACCACCAACATTATTCCCAGAAATATAAAAATATACAGCAAATCATCGACTTTCATTGCTTCGAATTCTTTCTTTCTGCTCAAATCGGATAACACCAGCTTTTTAGCTTTGATCAGCTCTAAAAATCCATGTTCCATCCATACATTCATTAAACCCGATTGCCAGATTTCCAACATAAGGTTATACATCGCTTCAATGAATAGAGAATTTTCATGAATCGGAAAGACCATTGGAATATTGTTGTAAAAACAAAAACTGGAACTTTGTTTAAACAATGGCGTGGTAAACATTTTCTGCTGCTCAGTGATAATTGTCCATTTTGTCGTGGGTACCACATAACCGTAGTGGGTATTAAACGATTCACGGTACTCTAAATATTTTTGATAATTCGGTTCCACCAAAAACATTGGAGCATATTTTTTGAATTCTGGAGCTCGGGATAAAATCTCATTATATTCCGGTTTCCAGGCGACACATTTAAGACCTGAAGCCATAATATCGTCCAAGGTGTTCAGAGTGGCTGTCTTTGGTGCCTTGGTGACATAAGTGGAGAAGTAGGCGTTATATGTGGTCGTCAACAGTATACCCAACATACAAATTTCCAAATATATGGCTTGAACTATTACCGGTGGATTACGCAACTCGCTAAACGATTGGCCCAGCATTCCGCGCAAACAATCATCGTGACAAATTATATCAAATAAATCCGGCCTATAGCCATGAATGTACAAAGCAGCACTCAATACCATCGAAATAATAATTAAAGTGGCAATAAAGAAGACATAGGTTTCACCTTTAAATACGGATGTGAAAAATTCATACCCTGGAATATCCGCTTCGACTGGTATCATCAAACACCAGTTGATAAACTCATATGGATAGGTGTAACCTAAAATCGGTATCTCTGGAAATGTGACACCAGCAGACCATTCTACAGTTCCATTGCGAACAGCTCTCATTAGCTCTTGACTAGGCAGCGGAACTTTGGGGTTATATGGTAATGGTTCATGCAGGTTACAATTGTATTTTTTGGCAAATGCCCATACAAAATGTCCAACAAATCCTCCTACAAATAGTTTCCCATCTTTTTCGTATGGTATTATACGAGGATCGGAACCACCAATGACAACATTCATATTGTAGCCCATTAAATTGTTGAGACGTTGTGGAAATATCTCCTCTTGTCTCAGTGAGCGATTGAAGGCTAATGGAACAGTTTCAATTTGAAACTCTGGAAATGGATTGAAGCGATAAAGTATTTGAGTTTTCTGAAAAGATAAATAAACACGAAAATAAATATATAATTAAAAAACACATAATAGGCATAGGCAATTATTTCAATATTTGCAAAGAAATAAACTATTTTATTATTATAATTATTATTATTATTTTTTGAGTTAATTCGCCAAAAAGTCGACAGGCATGAAATTTTTTAAATTCTGGAAATTTGTACGACCTCCAAAATAAGATGGTGGGTATGTTATATTTTCCATTCGGTTTGCAATATAATAGAGCTCGTAATATTTAAGAGCGCCTTTAGACAACTAAATCCAATCGATTTCAAATGTCGATTCCATACCGTATACGTCATCTTAATCATGCTCACAAATCCAGTGGATTATATTTGACGTATACGCTATGGATTTGACATTTGAGATCGAGTGTCTCGATCTTTTTTGATATGGTACTCATATATATATATATATATTTATATATCATTCGATTTGCACGAAATATTGCATGGTCTAGCACGAAATTTTGAATTAGGTCTAGAATTGTGAGTGCTAATTTTCGGTTCAGATTGAGATATAGTTCTTATTATATCCTTCACCACACTGTGGTAAAGGGTATTATGTCTTTGTGCATATGTTTGTAACAGGCAAAATGAAACGATATAGACACATGGTTCCTTTTGAGAATATGTATAGAATCACTTTCTGAGTCAATTTATGCATGTCCATCTGTCCGTCCGTCCATGTATTTTTGTTAACAAAGTACAGGTCGCATTTATGATCCGATCTGGATGAAATTTGGCACAGGTCACTTAATTGGCCCAAGGACGAACCCTATTGAAATTGGAGAAAATCGGTCCACGTTTAGGCATAGCTCCCATATAAGAGTACCCCCCAATTTTCGCTATTTTGAGGTTCTTTAGCGTGTTTTTTAACTGAATTCGCTGAAATTTGGTACTTTGAGTTCTTATTGAGTAGCAAATCTCTCCACTAAAAATTATAAATATAGGTAAATTTTTTTCGGCTAGCCCCCATATAAGGGTACCCCCAGTTTTCGGTATTTTGGGGTTCTTGGGCTCGTTTTATATCTGAATTCTCTGAAATTTTGTGCATTGGGTTCTTATTGTGTACCAAATTACTCCACTAAAAATTATAAATATATGTCCAGTTTTTCTGGTATTTTGGGGGTTCTGATCGTATTTTTCGACCGAATTGACTGTAATTTAGTACGTCGAGTTCTTATTGGGTAGCAAATCTCCCTACCAAACATTATAAATAAAGGTCCATTTTTTTCGGTTAGCCCCCATATAAGGGTACCCACAGTTTTCGGTATTTTGGGGTTCTTGGGCTCGTTCTATAACTGAATTCACAGAAATTTTGTACATTAAGTTCTTATTGTGTACCAAATTACTCCACTAAAAATTATAAATATAGGTCCAGTTTTTCTGGTAACGGTACTCCCAAATTTTTGGTATTTTGGGGGTTCTGATCGTATTTGTCGACCGAATTGACTGTAATTTAGTACGTCGGGTTCTTATTAGGTAGCAAATCTCTACACTATAAATAATAAATATTGGTCAATTTTTTCGGTTAGCCTCCATATAAGGGTACCCCCCAATTTTCGGTATTTTGGGTTCTTGAAAGCGTTTTTCAACCAAATTCTTTGTAATTTGGTTTTTTGTAGTCGTATATGGTAACAAACCTCCCTCCCAAAAATTATTAATATTCGCCCCTTTTAGGGGTAGTCCCCTTATAACCCCCTTTTTATACCCTTCACCACACTGTGGTAGAGGGTATTGTGTCGTTGTGCATATGTTTGTAACAGGCAAAAATAATCGAGATAGACCCATGGTTCCTTTTGGGAATCACTTTCTGAGCCGATTTATGCATGTTCGTCTGTCCGTCCGTCCATGTATTTTTGTTAACAAAGTACAGGTCGCATTTATGATCCGATTATTGGTCCAAGGACGAACCCTATTGGAGAAAATCGGTTCAGATTTAGATATAGCTCCCATATATATCTTCGTCCCATTTTAACTTATTGATGCATCGAACTCCCAATTGTGGTCAGATTGAGACAAAATTTTGCACAGAGTACTGAAATAGGTCCCGACTGATGTATGAGAAATTGTGTTGAAATCAGTTCAGATTTAAATATAGCTCCCATATATAGTTTCGTCCGATTTAAAGTAAATTGTGCACCAAACTCCCAATATTGGTCCGATTGAAGCAAAATTTTGCACAGAGTATTGAATTAGGTCAGGATATTTTTCATATAGGATATTTTAGATATTAACATGTCTTGCATGTACCCATAGTGGTGAAGGGTATCATATAGTCGGCCCCGTCCGACTTTTGAACTTTCCTTACTGGTATATATTTTCTTCCGATTTTATATAAATTGTGCGCTAAAGACCCAAAGTTTTTCCGATTGCAACACAATTGCAATACCATGAACTGTAGTTATTATAAGTTAATATCTGGCAAGTCTCGTTGAAATCGTTCGTCCTATTTTACACAAAATTGACATAAAATGTCCTACAACGTACTGAAATTAGTACATCCCAGAAGTAAGATATAAATGTTGTACCGAACTCTCCAGGTGGGTCAGATTGGCACAAAATTTTCCACAATGTTCTGAACTTACTACAACATAACGTGTGGCAAGTTTTGTTGAAATCAGTTCAGATTTATATATATATAGTTTCGCCCGATTTTAAGTAAAAGGTGTACCAAAGACCCAAAGTTAAGCCGTTTTCTACAACATTTTGCACAACGTACTGAAATTAGTATTACCTAACGTTTGCCAAGTTTTGTAGGAATAGGTTCAGATTTAGATATAGCTGTCATATATAGATTCGTCCGATTTTAAGTAAATGGTGCACCAAAGACCCGAAGTTAGGCCGATTGACACAACATTTTGCACAACGTACTGATGTTTATATAACCTAGCGTGTGGAAAGTTTTGTTGAAATCGGTTCAGATTTAGATAGAGCTCTCATATATATTTTCCCCCGATTTTAAGTAAATGATGCACCAAAAACCCAAAATGTGGCCTATATGCACAAAACATACTGAAATTAGTAATACCTAACATGTGACAAGTTTCTATATAATCGATTTAGATTGCGATATAGATCTTATATATATTTTCGTCCGATTTTAAGTAAATGGTGCACCAAACTTTATTTTATTGATTTGTATAATTTTCTCCCATTGTAAGAAGCAACTCTGTATTTGACCAAATGAAAATTTTAGTATGGGTTGAAGAATGGCATGTTTATGGATCCAATTTCATGTTAATGATCCTTCAAAAATGCGACGTCTGTGGTAAAGGGTATTATATAGTCGGCCCCGTCCGACTTTACTTCTTTCATTACTGGTTAATATTGACCCACGTCGGTATTTTAAGAACTTTGAACACTTTCTTCTCTCGAATTGTCTATAATTTGGTATTTTCTATTCTCATTGGCTGTCAAATTTCACTAACAAAAAATATCAATATTGATCTTATTACAGCCATATGTAACGATAGATATTTTGAGAATTTCAATTATCTTCTTCCCGCGTATTTTTCGGTATGTTCAATATCCTATATGCGTTTTCTCGTAGGAGCCCTATTAATTTTAGATATTTTGATTGTCATCCTCATGGCGGAGGGTATAAAAAGTTCCGCCGTGCCGAACTTAACATTGTTCTTCTTGTTATACTGTAACTTTGTGTAATGTGGGTATAGTACAAACCCTTAGGGTACAAAAACGTATTATACCTTCATAATATAAGCATTGTAAGGTGTAATATATAATAATTTTGGTGTTATTTTAGTCTCAAGAAAAATGTATCTTTAAAAACAGTAAGCGGAATGGTAGAGTCAGAAGAGCCCATCATAATCTTAAGTGGGTATATTTAATGCCGAACAGTTCATAAATTGGACTCCTTTGAATTACACTAATATTTTTCCAGACTTTACACAATTGACCGACCAACAATGTTCTCACGATATCTAAACACTTATAATTTATCGCAGCCCAAACCATAGGCAAAGAAAATTGTTAATATTACAGAGATTATGCTAAATTCCCAAATAAATAACAAAAATATTAATATTCCACAATTTCTCAATGCAATTTCCCCATTCAAATTGTTTTGTTGTTGTTGCTGCTGTTGATTAATTTCTTTAACTACTACAAATTCCAGTTATTTCACACTTCCATACCTGATAGTTGGCCATTATAGCAGCCACATTTAGTAATTTTTGCCTCCAACAATGTTGAAATAATTGTTCCACAAAATTGTATCCAACATCTTCATCGTTTGCACTGGCCACCATTTCGGCATTCATCATCGTGGGGGCATTGATCAAGAATAGCACTTTCGCCACCTTCATGCGCCACAAACATTTCGATAATTTCTGCAATAGACCCGAATGCTGGTCCAGGGTGATTTTGATGCCATCATCACCACTACCATCATCTGCGTCACTATTAATATCAATCTGAACAATTGCCAGTAAATTGTCGGACATTTGATGTTTGAGATTAAAGTGTTGCCATTCGTTTAATTGCAGAACTGGCACCTGTAGCCGGTGCATGAGATATGCCACAAATGGCAGCAACGATTTTCCAGCGGCATCTGCATTTAGAATTTTTTCAATAAATGTGAACGTGTTGCCCGCAGCAGTTGTAGATTTGATCGTGTTGTTGTGAGCATCCTCCATAGCGTTGTTGTTGTTCGTGTAGAATATCTTGGCTATGGTCGTATTGCTATTATGCATCACCAGAACACTGTCGTAGTTATGTAAATCTTTCAAGTCCTTGAGGAATTCGATTACGGTATAGGTTGCACCGCCATTAACAGATTGTTCCGTTTTGGTATCGACAATGCTTTTTGCTTCGGCCATGACAATTGTTGTACGATTTGTTGTTTGTAAAATTATTGATAATAAAATTATTAAAATTTTGAAATTGCCCAATAATGTCATTAAATCAAACATCTTATTTAGCGGTGGTGCCATTCTGTTGTTGTGGTTTCCTTTTTTTGTTATTTTTTCATTTATTAGCCGTTTCGTAGGGATTTATTATACTGCAACTCTATTTGCCGACTGACTTTGTAAACGATTCAAAAGTATTCTTGGAAATAATTGTAATTTCACCTTAGGCGTGGATATTTATCTCTATCTATTTTATGTGTTCTTGTTTTTAGAACATTTACCAGCGCAGTAGTGCCCTACAAGCGGAACATAAGGAAACTATGTTTGGTAGTAACGGACAAAAAGGGTTATACATTACACGAGGTTAATTACTATGGGGATTTATTCTATAGTTGGTTTTGGTGGGGAGGGAATGGACACTAATTTCCTGCGTAAGTTAAATTTTGCTCTCGACAACTTTCTAGTGTGACAATGTCAAATGTTTGTTATGGCAGTTGAGAGTGGGTTATATAATATAATATTTGATATACGATGTAATGTGAATAATAGCCTGCCAATCGGTCAGACGTAGCATATTTTGTGGACCTTTGCTATAAAACCGGCCGAAAGTAAGTTTATGATCAATATACAAATACGAAGCGAATTCAATTAATCCATACACATGTTATTCGATATTTCCGATGTTAATTTCGGCCCGTTCGAACTTTTTATATTCTCCATCAAGAGGATGACAATCAAAACATCTACAATTAATGGGAGTTCCTAGGAGAAAACTTGAATATACCGAAAAATACGTGAGAAAAAGATGATTGAAATTCTCAAAATATCTAATAGTGGGGCTACGGTTATATGGGATAGAGTATAGAAAAAATAGAGAATCCAAAATATATTCTCAAAATTCCAAAATATTTTGGTGACCAAAATTCTCAAAATTCCGACTTGGGTCAATATTAATAATTTGTAGTGCGGAGATTAGGTGATACCGCTATGACAATCGAAAATACCAAATTACAGCCAATTTGATATAAACACGTGTCAAAAAATCCCTATATTTGGGTTTACCATATTATGTGGGTTACCCTTAAACGTGGGTCAATATTAGAATAAGAATCCAAAATTGAAAATTACAGCCAAGTTGGATATGTGTAATTCAATGAGAACCCAAAATACCGAATAACAGCAATTTCAGCTGGAAAACGGGACCAAAATCCCCAAAATACCGAATATAGGGGCTACACCAAAACGTGTACCGATATATCCCATTTGCAATACCCAATATCCTAGGAGTACAGGCAATGTATGTGCAAAATTTCAGAGCTCTATTTCAAATATTGTATTCTATGTCGTCATTTTAACAGGCAGACAGACAAAAATGCGTAAATCGACATAGAATTTTATTCTTTTCAAGAATATATACTTTGTGGGATATCCGGTGAATACTTCGATGTGTAGCAAACGGAATGACAAAATTAATATACAATCCACTATTTGGTGGAGGGTATAAAAACCAGTGAGCTGGGCATTATAGTCTGACGGGGCCTACATAACTTCTACTGAACTCTAACTTTCTTCGGATTTATATTTCGAACCTGGGTAATATTTCGTGTAACATTTTTAATGTTACCTCTTAATAGTAACAATAAAGCAACTGGGAAATCAGATAAATATAAAGTTTTCGGTCCATCATCACCTAAACATCATCTTTATCATCACCGAAAATTGTGGGCGTCGTCCTTGACCATAACCGGAACTTCATGCAAAATTTCAAAGACCCGCCATTTGAACCGCTATATATTGACTAATTATCAAGAAAAGGGTCATGCTTGTTTAATGTACAGATCCACTTTTCTGGAACGACAATAAAAAAGAGTAAGGAAAGTAGTAAAGTCGGACGGGGCCCACTATATGATACCCTTCACCACTTTGGGTATATTCAACAGATGAATCCTAACAGACGTGGCATTTTTAAAGTACCAGTAAAATTAAATTGGATCCATAAACATGTCATTCTGCAACCAATACTAAATTTTTCATTTGGTCAGATATAGAAGCTATGTCTAAATCTGAACCGATTTCAGGCAACTTAACAGACAACATTCAAGACCTAATTCATTACCCTGTGCCAAATTTCGTGCAAACCGAAAGATATTAAGGGACTTTGGTGCACCATTTATATTGAATCGGGAGCTAAATCTGAACCGATTTTTCCCAATTTCAATAGGGTTAGTCCTTGGGCCAAATAAGTGGCCTATGCGAAATTTCAAACTGTTGGAGCCAACTAAAGCTATAATACCCTTACAATATAGTGTTGCAGGGTAAAAAATGTTCATGTCGCTTGTAACAGCACGAAATATTCAGCGCATACCCCGAAATCATGATAGAGCTCCAAATATTTATAGTAGGGTTTTTAAATTCGACTCTAATTTAATATTTTGAGTTCTTATAGGTATAGTCCCCAATATAAATGTCCAGCCCCTTTATAGGTATTTTGATGGTTCTACGCACTATATTTTGGCAACTTTTTCACATAACATTTTCAGTTTCCTAGTTTCTGTAGAGCCTCACAACAAAGGTCACGCGGTATTTTCTGTATGCTCGAGGTTCATGGCCAATATTCCAACTTGAGTTCGAATAGTTTGGTATTTCGTTTTCTTCTGACACCACATGGTGGAGGGTATAGATCTTTTAAAAATTAAAACAAAATGTGTGGGGAAAATATTATTTGGGGAAAAAGGTTCTTCAGATATGAAACGTATAAATAATTTTTAAATTCATTATTCCTACGGTGTAGATTTTTGTCTCGAAAAGAGTAGAAAGTAGAGTACAACAAAGTCAACACTTCCCCTTGTTAACAATTATTCTCAGTTTGTTTTCTACTTTTCGCCCAAAAACACCACCAACAACAACAACAAGCAGCAATAATTTCATCTAAATTGGCCTCATGTAAAGTTCTGTTATTTGTTTATTTAAAATCATGGACTCTCGTAACCATTCGAAATGATACCCCATTAAGATTGGACGGTCGTTTGGGGTTTCTGTCTCGTTTCTGCTTCGTGTCCGCTTGTTACACTTGTGCTAAACTTTACTTTAATGGGATCCCTTGGGATGAATGATTCCATTTAGTGGTCATGTTTTGTTGGTTCTTTATTTCCCTGATTTGGTTGTGTTCTTTTTGGTTCGCTCTCAGTATGTTCTTTTTTTATGATTGTCCTCTGCACCGAAAGGAAAGGCTTCATTTACAACTTCAGTCCCAAACAAAACTGCAGCAACATCAAGAACAACAACGACGAAAGCGTTGTTTACATGAAAGTGCGTGTTTGGTAACATATTTACCCCTTTCCTTTCTACGGCCGTTAATGATATTCTCCTCCACCCTGTTTTCCATGGCTAGTACTGATTATCAGCAATTGTTAATATACTGCCTGGGGAAAAGTTAGCTTTAATTGGCCTGCCAAGTTATTGCCAGATTTTACTAATAGTTTAGTTATAAAATATTTAATGCGTTCATTAAAGTTGCCATTAAATTAACACTTTGACAGAGACCACATAAAATGCCAAACCAAAACACAGCCGACATCGATGGGTGTCAGTTAAACGCACTGTTGAGGTGTCAAAGAGACAGCGTGTTTATGTTCCAAAAGCGACATCATCAGCCGGCGCATAGGTGACCATCGAACAACAACGTGATTTGAGGGATATGTTAACTGCGCTAATAAAGATGACGATAATGTTATTTATTGATGCTAAATAGTTTTCTATTTTAAACGCCCAGTAATGTGACGATCAATTGATAGGAGATAAACGTATCTTGGTTTCCCGCGCCATTTAATTTTAAATGTCACATAAAATGGGGGAGCCAATAAAAAAGTTTAATTAATTAAATGAGTTTTTTTTTCCTATCAATAAGTAGCGCGCTGAGAGAAAAAAAGCATTATGTGGATGACACGACTTAACTCTTACCAAATGGTCAGTTCTTTATACCCTTCAGCACACTGTAGTACGGGTCATTATGTAGTTGAGCGTATGTAGTCAAAAGGAAACAAGTACAGGGTATTATGTCTTTGTGCATATGTTTGTAACAGGCAAAAGGCAACGAGTAAGACACATGGTTCCTTTTGAGAATATGCATAGAATCACTTTTTAAATCGATTTATGCATGTCCGTCCGTCCGTCTGTCTGTCCATGTTAAATTGTAAACAAAGTACAGGTCGCATTTATTATCCGAATTGGATGAAATTTGGCATACGTCACTTATTTGACACAAGGACGAACCCTATTGATATTGGGAAAAATCGGTTCAGATTTATATATAGCTCCCATATATTTTTTCGTCCGATTTAAGGTAAATGGTGCACCAAAGTCCCTAAATATCTTTCGATTTGCACGAAATTTAGCACAGCGTACTGAATTAAGCCTAGAATGAAGTCTGTTAAGTTTCGTGAAAATCGGTTCAGATTTAGATATAGCTCCCATATATATTTTCGTCCGATTTAATGTAAATGGTGCACCAAGGTCCACATATATCATTCGTAATGAACTTAGTATAACCTATAAATTAGATATAAATGCTGTTGCACCGAATTCCCCAGGTGGATCCGATTGGCACAAAATTTTGCACAACTTATTGGAGTTATTATAAGATAACGTGTGGCAAGTTTTGTTGAAATTGGTTAAAATTTAGATATAGTTCCTAAATATAGTTTCGTCAAATTTTAAGTTAAATGTGCACCAAAGACCCAAAGTTATATAGTTTATATAACCTTTATAAATGCGACGTCTGTTAAGATTCATATGTTGAATATACCCAAAGTGGTGAAGGGTATCATATAGTCGACCCCGTCCGACTTTACTACTTTCCTTACTGGTTATATTTGAACATGAACATCTTAAACTAAAATTAATGCAATAAAATAACTAATATATATGTGAATTTAATATAAAACCAGTAAGGGGAGTAGTAAAGTCGGACT